GATTTTGTTCGCTTATTTCTTTAGTCGCACCTCCCCTCATAACGACAGTCAATATATATACTCCAGCAGAATTCTGCGAATTCTGTATAAGAATACAGAAAGTACATTTAATAATATACAGGCGCAATAATTGCAGACGAAGTCACAGAAGATGTATATCCTTAATTCATAATTAATGTTCATTTCTATCCCATTGTAGATTAATCTTAATCTCGGTTTAACTTACTTTTCATTATTGGAAGAAAAAGATAAACAATAAGATAAACTGAGATTAAAGTTAAGTTACATTGGTAGAAACAGGCATAGGTTGGATATATATTCCTTAATAAGGGGAAAACATTTACCTCTTTAAAGAGATATATGCAGTAGCAACGAAAGTGCTTTTACATATACAAAGTTATTATAAAGAAATTATATCGTTTGATAATATTAACATGAATTAAATAAAAATGAAAATGAAATTTTAATATATTCACTAAACCAATTTAATTGACTATGTTTTACAAAAATCTAAAAACTCGTGCTAATTGATAAAAACTGTCAAACCATCAGTTGCTATTTTACGTGCATAGATTTTTATCAGGTTACATTATCATTCTAGTGACTAGTATGCCCGATGAATATAAAAATTTGCAATTGAGCTCCAAATTGTATTTATTCAAAATGTTCAATCTATAGATTAAACAAGGACGTCCATAGTATAAGTCGCAAACTAAACGCACGATGTAATCGCATAACCATTGTTTTTATAGATTTCTGTTTTCTCTTGTAGGCTTGCAAGCTGTGTACAGATAATACAGAGTAAAAGTGAATACGAAATGAAAATATTCGTAATCATATTAAAAAAACATTCGTTCAAATGGCATAAAAAATATTTATTCGTATTTCTTAAAAAACAAATAATAAAAAAGAAATGTATTCGAATGAGTATTTTCATTCATTTTTTATTCATTTACTCGAATATTAGGTGTATTCATTGAACACACTACTAGTGACGGTCAAATAAAATGATGTGATTTTAGATGGATTTGAACCCGGATCTTTGACTCACAGAGAGCAGACACGAAACTCTCTATGCCACGATCGCCACAAGAGTGAACGATGAAGAAGCTCGGGCTGTCCGGGGAGAAAAGACGACGGTAAGGCCCCGAAGAAGAGAAGGGGAGAGGTGGAATGCGCGCGGTTCTCGAAGGAGGAGCTGTCGGCGGTGAAAAATCACGCACCCCGCCACGGCTGGAGCGCAGCATCTGCTCTACATACCCTGGCTCTCAACCTATGTATCTACCTACGCGTACCATCGTCGATCGACGATCTGTGAAAATCGCTCAATCGATGACCTCGAAGCGCACCTTCGCACCCGTGGTGCGTGCGATAATCGATTCCCCGGTGCACGTTCTTCGCATGCTCCTCGAAATAATTGTGTCGCGCGAGATAATTATAGTTTTCACAGATTATGAACGCGCCGTTCCCTTTGCGGTACGTACATGCTTTGATAATAAATTTACTCCGTTCTCGAGTCGGCAAATTCGCTAATAAAAATGAAAAAACTTTTCCAGCAAGTCCAATACGAAAAGATCTAGATGGTGTACTGAATCCAATTGTGTTAGAAGTGACTATAATACACGTGTATGTACGTGTAATTAGTTTTTCGTGTGAAAATGACGCTCTATGTATAGTACACGTTTGAATATAAATTCATTTTTGTACGCAGTATAATGTGTTATTTTTACACAAAAAACTAATCATACACATAGTATAGTGCAGTCACTTTTATACACATGGATTTGCAGTGTTTTACATAATAGCTCAATAAACGTGTAATTAATTAATTAATGTCATTATAGATAATTCAAAATCTGTCTATTTCATCGCATATTTTTTTATTATGTAACATCGACGGGTAAGAAAATCTTACTTTTGCAATTTTTTATTCGCGACTTACGTCACCGCTTTGCGCTTAATGAATCGTTTCTTGCGTCCGTACATCCAAGCTGTCGTGGATAATCGTAGCTATTTTTAAAGTCTCTCGCACGCGATCATTGGGGCTTCCGCGAAGACGCGGGAGAGCAGCTCATCAATGAGAACCTCGAAGAATCGGAGTAGCAGAGCAAGATATACGTGTGCTGGCTGAGCTACCGGTCGGTCGGGTTGGGTCGCTGTTCTCCTGTGTTTCACATCTCTCTCTCTCTCTCTCTCTCTCTCTCGCTCTCTCTCTCTGTTTTGCTCGCTCCTCTCTTACTGCCTTCCTCTTTTCACCTCGCGGCTTATCCTGCTCGCTTTCGCCCTTTCTATCCCGCGACTGTTCCTCTCCGTCTCCACCACTGCCGCTCACTCCCGTGAGTTGTTGTTCGGCTGTTTTATTACTTTTATAAATCCCGCCGATGCTACTACTACCACTTGCTCGCGAATCGGCGCGGCAGGCGTTTCCTTTGTTGGTCGCCACCACGCTCCCATTGTTGCTTGCAGAAAGATGCGAATTTTAATTTGATATTGTCTAATATTATTTATGTATGCGGTTAGAGAATCCTGCGGAAGGATGCCGCTCGCACGGTCTCACATCTTGCGCCGTTTCTTCCATTCAATGGGAAATCGTAGTCATATCTATCTCAATGACTTAGCTTCGATGAAAGCTCTTGTGTTTCGTTCTCCATGCGGAATCGCCCAAATCCGATTTCGTAAACATTATTTGAGTTTTGCCCGTTAATTCTTTTTCGCGTATAATTCTTCTTACAGCAAAAAATTCAGCAATGACTATATAATATTATTCGATAACTATTTTTTTATTATACACATATTATTTAATATTATCGATTTCAACATGCAGCACGTGTTCAGAGTTTCCCTCGCAAACTTATTTTCTAAGAAAAAAATCTTACCTCCTTCCTTTCCCCCTAATAATGTCTGACCTATTGTGCAAGTATTCTTAGCCGTCCTTCAATATGCTCAAAACCCCGTGGCACATTATCACGTCCCGTTCACCATAAGCGTAATCTAATTACCGGCATGTGCGAAGTGTCCGCCAACGAGGCACAGCTAGACTTGCGCGTACGTGCTCGGTTCGCCTAAAGAAATCAATATCACAGCAATCCAGGTTCACGCTACGAACTGCTTTGTACGACGGTACGCGCAACAGTTGCGTCGAGACAAGACACGAAGAGGTACAAGAATCGAATGCACTATCGCGTATCGACATCCGAGTTGTTCAATCAACAAAAATAAATCGGAAAGTGCGTCCTCGGAGTTTTGGTTAATCATCAATTTGCAATGAATTGATTGACTCTCAATTGGAAACCTACTTCGAATGCCACCCAACACATCTCGCGTTGCCATGGAAATCCGCGAAAATGACTACACTGGTCCCGGACTAAAAATATTTAGGTAAACAACGGACAATATCATACATTTTGTCAGGATGACAGAGAAACGACTGTCGTTGGGCATCAACGTAAGCATTTTGCTAATACTGACGATATTTGGCGTGCTTCTGTCTTTGCCTTTGCGATTGTTGTTCGACACGAATTACTCCGAGCAGAATCACGGAGATGAAAGTGTCAGTGACCCGGGCGAGAAAGGAAAAGAATCCGCGATACCGATAGATCATCGAAAATTAAAGCGCTGTCCGAATCTACAGTACGAGGATCGCTTGATGTCCGTCTTTATGAGCGATTACGACGGAAATTGCACATACGTGCAAGACGACGAGAGCGACGATGACGAAGATGACGACGATGATGACAGCGACTCTGAAGAGGAAGAAGATAGTAGAGAGGATGAGGACGATGAGGAGGAGGAAACATACAGGTCCAAGAAGAGCATCGAAGAAATGAAAGAAAGCGCTGAAGAGATCTTGAAGTCGCGTCAAATGAAGTCCGTCACGGTGGCAGGCCACATACTCGTGACGATGTTGCTCGTATCAGTAATAGCTGCCCTCGTTGAAGTACTGCGAATACGCTTCGCCAGAGAAAAAGTATTGCGTCACATATTACAGAAGTCCTTAAGCGCTTGCGTTGGAACTTGGTATCCTTAAAGCGTAAGATATGTCTGTCAAGACGTACATCATTGAAAAATTTCACTTAAAGAATGTACATTTTTTTAGAATCTACTCCTTTTGCTTCTTGAAAACAGTACAATATAATTTCCAAAAGTTCTCTTAATTATTCAAACACTTTTTCTAAATAAAATCGTCATTTTAATTCTATAATTCGGAGATACTTTATTTCAACGCAAACAATTATGTACCTACTATCCTTGATTATTTGAGCACGATTATGCACGATTTGCACTCAACTATATCGCCAGATATAAGTTTAATCCAGATTGAGCTAGATTCTTTGTTGTTTGCACCATTGGGGAATAAATTGCGATATTCGGCAGAGACCGACGGGATAAGCGCTTCGCTGTTTTCCTCGCGGAGCTATAAGTAAAAACCGTCTCTCGATGCTCGGATAGACACGCATTCGTGAAACTATTGCACCTTCTCTTTTCAAAAATGCATAAGGATTCGTCTAGGGCAGGCACGATTATTTCACGGAGAAGTTGCTCCTCCAACGTGGACATATCCGCCACAAGACGTCCCATTTCAAGAGAATTAATTAGAAGCTATAAGTCCTTTGATATACCAGGAGTGCATCATTCCACACTGCGTCTGTTAGGTATGTGTATAAAATAATAAAGAATCATACAACCTTGGCCAAAAATATTATAGACACATTATTTAACTTTCAAACATTTTAAATTTCAAAAATTGATTTATAGCATTTACTGTCAATTATCCCTTTCTTTCAATAAGCCTTTAAATTTATGTATACTGTCAATAATTAATAGGATATACAGATAAAAGAATTTCAAATTAATGAAAAAGAATAAGCCTAATATTTTTGACTAAAGACCAAGACTATAATCTCTAAATACACAAATATTTATCATAATCAAGAAGATATCTAAAAAAAATATATGAGATACAGAAAGTTGATAAATTTCTATGAACACAATTATCTTATGGAATCCTTAACGAAATTGAATCATCAGAGAATTTTACTTCCCATATGTTTGCCTTTGCAATATCTATATTGAACTCTATTTATCTATATCTTTAACCAAAAAAAAACAATTAATCGAAAATGTCATAAAGAATAATAAAATTTATATATTTTGACTAAACAGAAAATAAATATTTTATAATGATATTTTCATTGATTGAGATACTAGCAAGTGTTGCTGGTATAATGCGGAGTATTGTGATCAGTGCAAGACCGTTTTGATCCGATTAGTAAGGGTAAGACGATAAAATTTAATTATCCATTCTTAGGAGCGCGGCCGCCCCCGCTTATCCGTCGCTCCTCATTTCCAACACCACAAGCAAAGAAAACCGCTACTTCATCTCTTTGCGGTACACCGAGTAAAGGACTGACGCGGCGCCAATCGGCTGAATCAGAAGAAGAAATCAGGATTGTTACTAACACTCTTCATCATCGCACCCGTCTAATTCGACGCCATTAAGGCGACGAGAACAGGTGAAGATTATTAACCTTTTGAGGTCCAAATTATTTTTCGCAAATTAATAAAAATCAAATATTTCGTCTTCTATTTCGTCTTCTATTTAATCTAATCAGTAGATAATGGATATAATGTAAATTGAAGAATTTTTATTATTTATCACAGAAAGAATGCTTTTGCTGAAAAATTAAAAAATTTAAATATAAGTTTGAAAATAATTATGTTAGAAAAATTTTTAGGTATAGGAAAACTAATTGCTAGAATGTCAAAATTTTAAATTTTTTAGCAAAATCGTTCTCTCCGTGTAGAGGAATGTACGGAGCTCTCAAAACTCTCTATATAATCATTTATCTTTATCACTTATAATCATGCAATATTTCGAAAGACTATCACAAAGTACAATGCTGAATCCAACGATCATCAAACTGAGCTGATTAACCATATCTGGAAGCTTGATAAAATTTTTCTTTGAAGATAAATGATAGATTGTATGACATATAACAAACCCTTTCAGATAAATCAATAAATTCTCTCTTTTCAGTATACATCTATCCACCAAATGCCTTGTATCTACATTGGTGACAAAATTAACAGGGTACACGTCTTTTACTATACGGTATGTTTTTCTCACGTGATAATTTTTATACAATTAGATAAAGAGTTAACGTATCAATCACTTCAAATATACATATAGATAAGTATTGTCAACAGGTAATACGCAACGCACAATGATCACATCCAATGATCTTTCTTACGGTTGCACAACGTCGAAAAATTTAAGGAACAGATCTTCCAACGTATCCCTTACGGCGGCTTCAATAGTGCTCCATTTCCGCGACGCTTTTATATCACGCTATTCATTAAGTTCTGCTTTCTAGCCAAGCAATCTTTGAAATATTTAAGATTACACTGATTAATATACAGAATCAATTTTCAGGATCAAAAACTCGCGTGAGCTATGGTGGAAAGCTGAATTACTACAGCACATGCCTGGACTAACATGTTTTAATAAAATAATTTCTATATTTTTTCCATATTCCATATCGTATAACGTGCTTTAAGATTATTTAATCAAACGAAAGTAACTACAATTAATCTAACTTAACTTCTAGTAAATTATTATCAATCTTTTCGCTCAATAATATTTGTTTCTAATGGACGTTTTAGAAATGTATGAGAAGCCAAATGTATATTCTTAAATTCAATTAAGGGTGCAGTCCACTTGATGCTATACAAATACTTCAAAATATTTGATTGACTAAAAATTAATCATTTAGAAAAAAGAATTTCACTAATCGATTAATCAAAAAAATACTTTGAAACATTTATAACATCAAGTGTATTGTAGCCTAAATTAATAGTGTAGCAAAACTTTCATTTGAGATAAACTAAGAAAAAATTATTTTTTTAAACACTTTCCTGTGTGTGTGTGTGTGTGTGTGTGTGTGTGTGTGTGTGTGTGTGTTATCCGACCGAATAGTAAAAAAGTATCGGATAATACTGGATATTTCCTGGATATCCGGTGCACCCCAGTTTTCTTAACGCATTTATTATTTCTTTAATATGTGTATTAATATATCATACTCAGAAAGAATTATACAGATCATTTTTTGTCTCTACAAAAAGTCATAATAATAAACTTAAAATATAAATATTGTAATTTTCTAAGAATGTATGTACATAAGTTTAAAGAAATAATTCCGATGTATTTTCATAAAATGTTATTGTATTTCTGCTTTGGGTCTTCAACAAGCTTCACACAATTTCAATAAACTGATCATTGTCTCTCTTCCATGTGATATGTACAATCGATGTCACATTAAATTGGATCAATTGTGCATATACACAGTCATTGTAACTGAGTGTTGTGTTGGCACAGTTAACAGGTTTTATTTATACTACGGATAACAAAAAATAATTTTATTAAATTCAATTAAATCTTTTGAAATTGTATAGTTTGAAATTTATTTTATATCGCCTTATACCATTATATTCGTCGGATTCTTTGTTAATCTTAGAGAATTTATATTTTTTGCCTAAGCCAAGATTTTTAGGCTTGTATTTTTAATTATTTTACAAATTTTGCTATTGTTTCTCGAGCAAAATGCCTAATTCAATATTGGAGATAAACAATTTTTTTAACAAAAATAAAATAAAAATATTTTAAAATAATATAAAATTAAAAAATTTTAAATGTTTTTTTCCTTCAGATAATTTGACAAAGTGAGTAAGAAATAAAGGAATAAATTAGGCATTATTTCACAACGTTTGATTTTTCCAAAGACATATGAATTTTGTCATTTGTATTAATATTTATAATTGATATTCTTATTTTTTTGTTCAATGTTGATTTAATCAACTGTTTCTAATTGTTGGTAAAGTGGAAATTATCAGAAAATATGATACAGGGCAAAAACAATGTATTTATCAATGCGCGCCATCTGTCGAGCTGTTGATGTATTTAGTGATCCACCTTAGTGAGTGGAATATTTGGATATCCATTGATCCATTCTAAGGAAAGACAAAAATGTGTTAGATGAATCAGCTGTTCGCCAATATTTAAGTCTTCCTTTATTGTGATTATTTGACACTGTAGATAATGTGATTTATCAGAGATAAATAATACTGATACATTTTATTACTTTAGTAACTATTATCAGTGGACAACATGGAAACGGTAGTTATTTCGAATTTCTTTCGTAATTCATTATTTATATTCATTTGGCTATTTTGGTTATGACAGTCCCTACTGTATTAATATCACATATAGTTATCACATATAGTTAAGCATATAATTATTCAAGTTGTCAGTTATATTCTTTAAATGCAAATGGACAATATACATATGTATCTAACCATATATATATTATTTTCTTTTTTTTATAAATTTTACTTACGAAGAAAAATATAAATAATTATTATTTTTTATACTTTCAAGTCTGACAAGAGAGAGATTCCAACTACATTGAGGAAAGCATTGGCAGTGGATGCCTATTTAACAAATGAGTTTGTCAAATTAGTGGAAAAGATTTTACCTTTAAGACAATTGAAAGTGCATAACAAATTATTAGAGGTATAAATAATTATTTATTTCTTTATTAACTACTGTTATAAGCTTCTCTAATAATATTAATTTGTTTTTTTTATCTGTCTGTAGATATCATGTCATGGTATACCTTGGCTTGCAGTATCTCTTATTTCAATTTGGATTTTTAACGCCAAATCCTTGTATCAAATGCAAATGAACCTTCTGATAGGTAAAATTTAAATAAAATTCTATTAAAATTGATTCATTTACAGTATGTTGATTGCGTTTCTCAAATCGATTGATTAGGATACATAAATTAAAAAAATCATTTCAGGATTGTTGCTCGATATCATCATGGTTGCTGTACTCAAGGCAATCACGAGAAGGAGACGACCAACCACTAATGACGATCCATTTTCTTTGGGTCCTGATAAATATTCCTTTCCATCAGGACATTCATCTCGTTCTGCATTTGTTGTATATTTCTTCTTCAATCTGTGGCCTATATCGTTGATATACTCGCCACCTTTGCTAGCATGGTCTTTTTCTGTATGCATGTCCAGACTACTGATGAGAAGACACTACATATTAGATGTGTTTGGCGGTGTACTTTTAGGTATCTTTGAGGGGCTACTTATAGGTTATATTTATTTAGAGCAGGAGACATGTATATATTTAATTTCATGGATTACGGATGACAAAATACCTGGGTCTGAATAGTACTCGTGATAAAGAGAATATATTGGATTGTTTACACATGTAATTTTTATAATCAGCAATATTTTTCATTAATATTAAGATAATGTCAATTAGAAAAATCTGAAATTTTAGAGTATCCATAATTATACAATTGCGAATTACAAATTTATTTTGTCAGATATTTTCTAAGAATATTATTAAAATATTCATATATCATATGTGCTTCCTTCTTTATTGATAACTTATCGTTAATTACTTTCACTGCACGCTATTAATAAGCACAATAATGGTTCACAATAAACACCCTAATGTTACCGTTAAGTCATAAAAAATGTGTCATTACCAAATTATTATCATAACAGAATAATTATAAGAAAAATAACGATGTTACAAGGGAAGTAACTTGTTACTTTCATTCCCTGCAATTAAATTAATTGGAATTTTTTTCCCCTCTCTCTTAATCAATTCAAAAAGCGCGTTTCTCGACCGCTTTCACCCTGAGCGACCCTGGAACCACATCCATCATTTCAAGAGACCTAGAGAGCTAAAGTTTAAGGACGAACGTATCTTTAGGCCTGTTTTTTTTTCACACCAAGTTTTAAATTGATGTACACTAATTTAGATTGAGAGCAATAATTTAGAGTGAGAGGTACAGTTTGTTTCATTCTAACATATTAACACTACAGTACAGAATTAATTCAGAATTCTTCAGAAAAAGAATAACCGATTTGTCTCGCAAGCCTGGATTCTGAAGCAACTTGAATGAATTTGAAAAAGCGTGCAGTAAAAGTAATCATGTTAGTCTTTTTTCTGTAATTGCAAAATTTCTTCATGTATTAGCGTCAAATGGAAAAGGGCCAACTATATGTATAGCAACATTTCCAGTCTATTGATACACCGCTATTTCATTCATGTCCATAAAATCAGCGATCACTGTCTAGAATAGTACTCCACACATATGAATTTGGCATATATTAAATGCCCATACATGTTATTAAATTCTTTCCGGTTATACCTGGATCATTTTTACGAGTGTTTTCAACTACTTTTGCGCATTTTGCAACAATGCTTCAAAATCATTTGAACAGTATTAATAGCCATAATTTTTTAAAGATATTTAAACCCCTCACCCCTCAAGTAAGGGGTGAGTGAAGAATATCCGAGTTAGTATTGCTATCATTGGTATAATTAAATTGTTGCATAGTAAATGAATTCGAGTGACCAGATCCATCAGAGTTGGGACTATTAAGAATTCTCACAGTGCCTGTTTGAGATTTTCTTGCATTGCTAATCACAAGTGTTACCTCACTAATGCAGCCTACATCAGCCTCTGAATTGGACATTTTAACTCGACCAAAACTAAACAAAACCATGCATACTTCAAATAAAAACTAATTAAAGCTTAGCTACTATTAGACAAATAAATTCAGGCATAATCAAATATAATATCTATATGTGAAAGTATTATTCATTCAAATTCATTTTGAAAAATACACAGTTTGATCAAACGTAAGCAATAAACTGA